CAGACACACAGACACACAGACACACACACACACACACACACACATACAGTATATTCCTTTATGCCTACTCTGATTCTTACTTCTTTTCTCTTACCTTTACTTTTTACTCGTTCTTCTCCTTCTTTCATGCTTTTCCCCTCTCCTCAAACTCTTTTTACATTCTATCACATTCTATCTTGCTTCTTTTGGGCTTTTCTACTGATATTCACTACTTCATCCCTTAGATATAATCATTTTAAATACTTTGTACTTTAGTACAAATTATTGAATAAGATAGATCTTAATTAAAAAAATTATTATTCTATTGTAAAATTAGCCTAATATATTTTTTTATTTAATAAATGTTATTCCTTCTTCTAAAATTGATCTCTGACATAATCATTACTCATTTGCCTGGATCTCACTGCATCAATATTTACTTGAAGTACAGTACTTGATTGGTTCTCAACCATATTTAATAATTCATATCCATGCTGAAAACAGTTTTTGCTGCTCTTTTGTGGAAATCATCTTTCTCATCATTCTCTAATGAACAGAAAATTCAAAAGAACAACATTTATCTGAAATAGAAATATTTGTAATATTGTTATCTTTTTATAATTGTTTCTATCAATTTAATGTATCCCTGTTGAATACAAGTATGTATGTGTATTTATGTATGAATGTATTTTTTAATACTAGTTCCAAAATTTCCAAAGCAATTCCAAACTCATTTTGTATTCCACGAAAGAAAGGAAGGGAACAGAGGTTTGGTTTGGAGCAAGGTGAGGGCGAAAAGAAACTGACAGAAGTGTCCCTTTAAGAACAGAAAGCTCGCAGCTGTCAGGCGCATGCGTACTGCTCAGTTGCTATGGGATACGTGCCGAGTCAACAGCGCGTCGAGCTGTGTTGTGTCTCATTTCAGAGTCGTTGGATACAGAGTTGTGTAAGGAAATATCGTTTATGTTTCAAATTTTGAGATACTTTAATCTACACAAATACTCAGGACAGTAGAGTCCTGAAGCCCATGTTTTCTATAGCCGTTTTATGCATGCGCTGAATTAAACAAATCGTTAATAAAAGTATCTCCATGTAGTTGTCGGACCCACTAATGTATTTTCATCTATGTTGCAGATTCAAGAGTGCAAACATGACAGCAGGTTCAGTGGCAGCACCTCAAATAATTCCCATTCGCATGCCGCCTCCAGGCAAAGCCAAGCATGAGATTGACTCCTGCACCCCTGTCGAGATCAAATCCGGTGAGTCAGTGCGGTTGTGAGGAACACGAGCTCGCTCCTTGCTGGTAAGATCTTCATGTGTTTTATAACCCATATTTCCCAGAATCCTCAGATGTGAGTGTCCTGTACACGCTGGACGGCAGTAAGCCGGAGATGATGAAGAGGCCGGGTTTTGGTGACCGCACTCTGAAGTACACTGAAGCTATTCGCTTACCCGTGGGGAAAGTGTCTGTGAGAGCCATGGCTGTCAGCACGTACGTACATTTTATGCTATGTTGTTTATAATAGGCTGGGACCTGGGTGTTTTTATCGATTACAGGCATCCTTATGTCCAAGGGGTTGATTTTTTTTTGTAAAAAATAAATAAATGAATAAATTAAATAAAAAACTTGTTATAAAGTGTATACATTACATTAAAACTGTCTTGGAACCTTGCCTTTATTATTTATTTTGTCTATTTTTCTAAAATATTATTTATAGTTTTATCCTTGTCCCAAACCCTATTTAGCCCCTAAGAGGACATGTGATGAGAAAAAAAATTGAGAACAAATGCATTTTCTCACAAACTATTGTGTTCCCCTGAGAAATGTTACATTCGCTCCTAAAACATTTGCGTTCTCTCATGAAACTATTTTTTTTTGTGTGTGTGTGGAGGAATACAAATGTTTTGTGAGAAAACACAAAAACATTGAAATATAATTTTTCCTCTTTTTTTTTTTTACCATCAACATGTCACTTTAGGGGCTCTGTACAAACCCATGTTTTTAATACTAAAATCATATTAATAATATAAAAATAAATCTTAAAATGTAAATAACATTAAAAATAGAATAAAACTTGTTACAAAACTGTTATTTTTTTATTATTATAATTTTTTTTTTTTTTTTACAAATTTATGATTACTTAAACAAAGAGTAAAATAAACAAGTTTGTATTGTGAAGCATTGGTATAAAACATCAGTTTTTTTATACAAATTTATATAAAGATTTATACAACCTGTCCCATAGTTGTGATGTCATTTTCAAACACAACCAACATTTTTACCCCTAATAAAGTTTTGTCAGTGAACAGCGTGAGATGAAATATGAGACATGATGGTGAAGAAAACAATCATGAAAAATCGTGAAATCAAAAAAATCATAGTAAATATCACTTGAGAACAGAATATTTTTATTGTACATCATTTTCAGTCAAGTTATAAATTTATTTAATTGTGTGTATTTTTATTATGCATACATTTCTGCAAAACTTTATTTTATTCTAAAAATGTTTAAAATGTCATTTCCATCAGCGTCATTTCCGTAACCAAATTCTATTAAAGGGGTCATATGATGTTGCTAAAAAGAACATTATTTTGTGTATTTGGTGTAATGAAATGTGTTTATGCGGTTTAAGGTTCAAAAAACACATTATTTTCCACATACTGTACATTATTGTTTCTCCTCTATGCCCCGCCTTTCTGAAACGCTTCGATTTTTACAAAGCTCATCGTTCTGAAAAAGCGAGGTGTGCTGTGATTGGCCAGCTATCCAGTGCGTTGTGATTGGCCGAATACCTCAAGCATGTCACGGAAATGTTACGCCCTTACCATATTGTGATGCCTTGTCCGGCCAGAGCGATGATTCAAAAACATGAAAACCCATTATAAACGAGGCATTCGTTGCATCCAGTGGGGACATAATTACGAATTATAATGACTTATACTGTCTTTTTACGCACTGCGTTGCATCGTGCCGCGTAAACATAAAACCATGTCTGAATTTGTGATCACTGTTATCTATTATACATCCTGTTTAACTTTTTTTCTCACTCCCACCAGAACCGGAGCGCAGATGGAGAAAGCCTCTTAAAAAACCTGACGAGCACTCAGATATCACGGGTCCAGAGAGAGACCGATTTCCTTAGGTGAGGTATATACGTTTATATTCATTATTTAAATATATTTAGATTAATATTCATCTTTCTGAAGATGTCCAAAGTGCCTGAGTCATCGCCCTTCGGATCCTTTCGCCCGGTTCTGCCTGCACTGTGGAGCACCAGTGCCTCCAATACCTGGTCAAAGACTGCCCCCTACTGAAGGAGGACAGGTACAACATATTTGGCTACTACAAAATTCAGTGATAGTCAGATAATAAGTGATCATTTCACAATAATATGAGTATTTGCTGTGATTTTTCATAGATGGGTCTATGTGTGCATTGTAAAACCATGGTGCCGCTCAATACAGCCACATGTGTGGTGTGCGAGTCTCCACTGACTCAACAACTACAGCCGCAGGCTAGTCTGAGACTACAGGTAAATTCTCACCTGTAGTAGATCACTCCTACTAGTATATGTACTTATTCGATCAATCAAGTATATTATATCCATATTATTCTAGGATAAGCTCATCTGTCACTCTTGTGGGACGGGAAACCCTGCTCATATCACACACTGTGTCACTTGTGAATCCCAGCTGCTTCAGCAAACCACAGTAAGAGCCCCGACTATCAGTATTGTCTTCTTTAGCCAGTCATTATTAGGATTGTGATAGGACACTATTATAACGGTGTTTATCATTCCACAGCCGGTTTTGAGTGGACAGAGAGCTGCACCTGTACCCAGCTCAAAAGGCAAAATGGTCTCCTGCTCCAAGTGCAATAGAGTCAACCACTCGGATGCTCGATTCTGCGACTGGTGTGGGGCAAAGGTGACAAACCAGAACTGTTGAAGACCTATTTCAGTCCATTTGTGTTGGTTTTGCATAAGTTAGGGGTCATCTATATATGAAGAGTTCATTTGCAAAAACCGATAAACGCCACTTTAAAAAAAATGAGCTGATTGCCGATACCCTAAACACGTTTAGTCAAAAAAGGCGGTTTTGTCCACTTTCAAGGCATCACGAGTTCACGTTTTACAGCAGAAGCCGACAAGCGCCCTTGTTGGTTTTGAACAGAAGCCGATAAGTCCATTTTAGCGAATCAGCGCACTGTATTCAGGACAGGTGACAAGGCTACTTTCACATTGGAAAGACGTGCTAGCTGAGAGGAGTTTCTCAACAACTACAGCCGCAGGCTAGTCTGAGACTACAGGTAAATTCTCACCTGTAGTAGATCACTCCTACTAGTATATGTACTTATTCGATCAATCAAGTATATTATATCCATATTATTCTAGGATAAGCTCATCTGTCACTCATGTGGGATGGGAAACCCTGCTCATATCACACACTGTGTCACTTGTGAATCCCAGCTGCTTCAGCAAACCACAGTAAGAGCCCCGACTATCAGTATTGTCTTCTTTAGCCAGTCATTATTAGGATTGTGATAGGACACTATTATAACGGTGTTTATCATTCCACAGCCGGTTTTGAGTGGACAGAGAGCTGCACCTGTACCCAGCTCAAAAGGCAAAATGGTCTCCTGCTCCAAGTGCAATAGAGTCAACCACTCGGATGCTCGATTCTGCGACTGGTGTGGGGCAAAGGTGACAAACCAGAACAGGTGACAAGGCTACTTTCACTTTGGAAAGACGTGCTAGCTGAGAGGAGTTTCACCAAAGCTGACTAAAAGTGATCGAGGATGGATCATTTCGACGAACTTGATGAACCTGTGATATCTTCTGCAGGGCGAAAAAGGAAAATAAAAGCTTAAACTTTTTCACGGAACCTTGTAAAAGCAGCGCGTTACAATGGTGAGGGAAAAGCTCAGTGTATTGTGTGTAATCACATCCATACAGTTTATGATCACAACAACAACAACGTTTGTCAGGCATCTACATTGTCATCTGAGGAGATTACAAAGATTAAACGAGTGTTTTTTTTAAACTCTAAAACATGAAATGTGGAGTTAACTGCTTTTGCCAAAAAAACGACTGTTGGAGTTATCTGCTTTTGCGATAAAACAAACTTTTAATATGTAAAAAAAAAAACATACTTTCAATGAACTTTAATTTTGTAAATTACCTGTATTTATTTAAGTTATTATTACTTAATCAAAACAACCCAACTGCAGTTTGATTGATATTTCTTGGAATGCGCAATAAAAAAAACGTGATTTCTGAAAAATAAAATAAAAATAGAGTTATCAGTTTTTGCAAATGAACTCTTCATATGTAAATGTCACCTACATGCAAGTGTGTTCAACTGTTTGACAAAACAAACTTTTAGCACATTTAATGCATTTAAATAGTACATTCTCTTCAAGGAAAAGTGAACACAAGTTTTGATGACTCATCTTGTTCATAGGGGCCTGTAGAATTTTTGTCCAATCAAATGCTCTGTGGAATGAGAATGCCCCTCCCCTTCATTACCATCTTTCTATTGGTAGCATTTAGCGGTTAGAATATCATATAGCATAGCATATCTATGGCAGGATCCATTATCATGTCAGAAAGATCATATTTATGAGTTGAACGCACCACAAAATTGTAATTACAAGTAGGAAACTCTGGGTTTCAGAGTTGGGGGCATGTCCATAAGAAAACATGTCACACACAATGGATACATCATCTGTATTTATGGAACATTTGTTGAAAATAATGGAATTGTATTAATGGATTAATGAAATTAATGAAATTAATGAAATTAATTTTTTAATTTTTTTTACAATCACAATCTTGCTTCCAACAAAAGTGGTTTGATGGCTGACGTTGTAATCACGACTTCCCAACTCGTAAATACGAACTTACCCAGAAGAACTTGAACCGACTAGACCTTTTGATCTGTACCACCTCAACGTATATTTGGCAGGAATTGTATTAATGGATTAATGAAATTAATGAAATTTATTATTATTTTTTTTTTACAATCACAATCTTGCTTCCAACAAAAGTGGTTTGATGGCTGACGTTGTAATCACGACTTCCCAACTCGTAAATACGAACTTACCCAGAAGAACTTGAACCGACTAGACCTTTTGATATGTACCACCTCAACGTATATTTGGCAGTGTTTGTATGAACTCAAATGCCGTGTGATTTTGTGTTTATACTTGCAGCCTGGCCACAAAGCCAGCTCTGTGACTTGTTCTCAGTGTGGAGCTAGCAGCCATCCTTATGCTAATTACTGTGGTGGCTGTGGTGTCTTCCTGGACGGCCCACCCAGGACGCCCTCACATGTAAACCAGGGACAGGATGCACCGGAAGCTGATCAGGTACAGTACACGGCCTGTTTGGTGCTCATTAAAAGCGTGCAGTATTATATCGTCCTCATCGCTCTCTCTCATATAGTCTTCAGCCACCTGGCAGGCAGTTCCTGCACCTGAATCAACAACTGTGCCGCCAGCTGCGGGTTTGCGCATGTGCGCAGCTGCCCAGACGCAGACGGTGGGTCTGTTTTTCCCGTCCAGCTCTGAGCTGAAAAAACGGAGCCAACAGAGGGAGGCGGAGCTTAGCAGACAGGAGCAGATGAGTGACAGGAAGCCCCTCCTCACTGCCGTTAGTCCAGGCCGAGGTAGACCACTGTACACTTTTCTTTTCCAAATAAATAAGTATAACTTCTATAGCATATGTTTATGTGGTGTGTGTATGATTCAGGATACTGGAGGAAGCAGCTGGATCACATTTGCGCTCATCTGCGCAGTTACACTCAGAATAATACTGAGTTCAGAGCTCTGATAGGAGAACCTCGGCTGGGCAGAGTAAGACCACTTTCCAGACCACTAAAAATTATAATTATAAATATTTTTATATTGTTATATATTATATCATATATTATTATTTATTATTGTTGTTGTTATTATTATATACTTTTATTTTGATTCCATTATTATTATTAATTTATTGATATAATTTACCTGTAGTCTATTATTGTTATTTTATTACATACTTTTGTTTTATTCCTGTATTTAATGGAATTGTATTAATGGATTAATGAAATTAATGAAATTAATGAAATTAATTTTTTAATTTTTTTTACAATCACAATCTTGCTTCCAACAAAAGTGGTTTGATGGCTGACGTTGTAATCACGACTTCCCAACTCGTAAATACGAACTTACCCAGAAGAACTTGAACCGACTAGACCTTTTGATATGTACCACCTCAACGTATATTTGGCAGTGTTTGTGTGAACTCAAATGCCGTGTGATTTTGTGTTTATACTTGCAGCCTGGCCACAAAGCCAGCTCTGTGACTTGTTCTCAGTGTGGAGCTAGCAGCCATCCTTATGCTAATTACTGTGGTGGCTGTGGTGTCTTCCTGGACGGCCCACCCAGGACGCCCTCACATGTAAACCAGGGACAGGATGCACAGGAAGCTGATCAGGTACAGTACACGGCCTGTTTGGTGCTCATTAAAAGCGTGCAGTATTATATCGTCCTCATCGCTCTCTCTCATATAGTCTTCAGCCACCTGGCAGGCAGTTCCTGCACCTGAATCAACAACTGTGCCGCCAGCTGCGGGTTTGCGCATGTGCGCAGCTGCCCAGACGCAGACGGTGGGTCTGTTTTTCCCGTCCAGCTCTGAGCTGAAAAAACGGAGCCAACAGAGGGAGGCGGAGCTTAGCAGACAGGAGCAGATGAGTGACAGGAAGCCCCTCCTCACTGCCGTTAGTCCAGGCCGAGGTAGACCACTGTACACTTTTCTTTTCCAAATAAATAAGTATAACTTCTATAGCATATGTTTATGTGGTGTGTGTATGATTCAGGATACTGGAGGAAGCAGCTGGATCACATTTGCGCTCATCTGCGCAGTTACACTCAGAATAATACTGAGTTCAGAGCTCTGATAGGAGAACCTCGGCTGGGCAGAGTAAGACCACTTTCCAGACCACTAAAAATTATAATTATAAATATTTTTATATTGTTATATATTATATCATATATTATTATTTATTATTGTTGTTGTTATTATTATATACTTTTATTTTGATTCCATTATTATTATTAATTTATTGATATAATTTACCTGTAGTCTATTATTGTTATTTTATTACATACTTTTGTTTTATTCCTGTATTATCATTTTAAAATTATTTTATTAATTTACTATTATTGTTTTTATTATATACATTTACTTTCATTCCATTATTATTATTATTAATTTGTTTTACTATTATTGTTATTTTTATTATATACTTTTTATATTAACCATTTTAAATAATAATTAGTTTATTATTATAATTTAATGAAGTAATTTACAATAGTAATCAAAATACTTATTAATAATAATATTACCATTCATTTATTTCTCTTACTACTTTAATTGATACATTTATTGTTTATTTATTAACAGTAAATGATCAAAGTAAATTTTAAAATGATTTTATTAATTTATTATTATTGTTTTTATTATATAAATTTACTTTCATTCCATTATTATTATTATTATTAATTTATTTTACTATTATTTTTATTTTTATTATATACTTTTTTATCTGTTTTATTATTATTATTAACATTTTGTGTTTGTCAATCTGCTCTCTAGATGTAATTTCAGTAGGAATCCATGTGCTTTTGCACAAGAGTTCACAACAAATTCAAGTTGGTCACGTAGGTCTTCGCCATGTTGAAACAGACTGCTTCGTACAATGCTAGACCTTTTTTAACTGAAATTTTGCCAAAATTTCGCTAATGCGAACGCATATACTTTTTTATCTGTTTTATTATTATTATTAACATTTTGTGTTTGTCAATCTGCTCTCTAGATGATATCTGCTGTTATTCAGGAGGATAGCTATGAAGTCAGTCTGCGCATCAGCTTCATCTCTGCCTCACCGGAGGGATCCAGGGTCAGAAACACTCCTAAGAGCTTTTATTTTAAGTCTAAAGAGAGCAGGGTTGCCAGGTTTTCACAACAAAACCCGCCCAATTGCTACTCAAAACTAGCCCAATCTATTTGGGGGGTTCCACCGATGCAAATCGCATTCCCGGGGGGTAAAATACACATTTTTTGGTGGGGTTCCCCTGGTAAAATTTGCATTCCAGGGGCTAAATATCACGTTATTGGGGTCGCTTCAACCCGCGGACATGAAAAACAACCCGTGGCAACAGTGTTAAAGTAGCCCAATCCTGCGGAAAAACCGCGGACCTGGCAACACTGAAAAAGAGTCTCTTGAGCATTGCATGTTTTTCAGTGTGTAAGATCATATACGTCTTCTTCCAGTCGTCTTCTGCAGGCCAGCAGAGCAGATCTGTGGCATCAGAGAGTCAGAACCTCAGTGCTGTGACAGAAGGCAGAAATTCAGCCAGTCTGGGTACTAACACATGTTTGCTTTTCTGTCAAGATGGGGCCTTTCCATTAACTTCTACTAATTTAGTATGTTTAAATAATTGTGAATTTTTTTTTTTTTAAATATGAAACATTTTAAATAATAATTAGTTTATTATTAATCATTTAATTAAATAATTTACAATAGTAATAAAATATTAAGCATCAAAGTATTTATTATTAATATTATCATTCATTTATTTCTCTTACTACTGTAATTGATACATTTATGATTTATTTATTAACAGTAAATGATCAAAGTGATGTTTATGACTATTTTCCTGTGTCATATGTTGTTTGTACAGACAGTAACATTAATACAGAAGTATCGTCAGTGAACAGAAAGAAGCAGAAAAAGATCTGGAGCTCAGACACGACAGAAAAGCAGCCGGTCAGTATCACACACACACACACACACACACACACATACACTGACATAATAACTGTTTCTATTTGTAAGACAAAGAAACATTTCAAAAGGATGGTTAATGTCTTTCTCAGGAGTCCAAAGACAGCCTGCTCCTTAAGGAGGTGGGGCCTGAGGGGCGGGGCCAGATCTCAGCTGTGCAGCAGCTATTGGATGAGGTGAGGCTAAAGAACCAATCACAGCGCCAAAAACTCCACAGCATCTTAAAGAGGACCTTCTCTTTTTTTAGTGTGTAATATAGGTATTTTTCCAAAATTTTTAAGGTGCGTTTTTGTACCCCTTTAAGGTCCTTTTTTTTTAGTGTTCTTTGGCAAATTTTCGTCATTGAAATATAGTAATTTCAGTAGGAATCCATGTGATTTTGCACAAGATTTCACAACAAATTCAAGTTGGTCACGTAGGTCTTCGCCATGTTGAAACAGACTGCTTCGTACAATGCTAGACCTTTTTTAACTGAAATTTTGCCAAAATTTCGCTAATGCGACAGCACCTTTAGATTTACTTGGGATCTTTTGTGTAGCTGTATATATTTCTAGAGGGTGTGTTTCAAATGTTGGCGCATCTCTGCAGGGTGCTGACCCAGCATGTTTGGGAAGTGATGGGCGTCCCGCTCTGGTCGCTGCCGCGCTAAACGGGCATCATGATGTCATTCCTGTGCTGGTGCAGAGAGAAGCTGATGTTAACCAGGCTTCTGGACCGTGAGTTTGAAACAAGTTCCTTTTGATATGTCTAGTAATAATCTGAGCCAATGCACAAGAGTTCACAACAAATTCAAGTTGGTCACGTAGGTCTTCGCCATGTTGAAACAGACTGCTTCGTACAATGCTAGACCTTTTTTAACTGAAATTTTGCCAAAATTTCGCTAATGCGAACGCACCTTTAGATTTACTTGGGATCTTTTGTGTAGCTGTATATACAGTGTTGGGGAGTAACTAGTTACATGTAACGGAATTTGGCAACAGTGTTAAAGTAGCCCAATCCTGCGGAAAAACCGCAGACCTGGCAACACTGAAAAAGAGTCTCTTGAGCATTGCATGTTTTTCAGTGTGTAAGATCATATACGTCTTCTTCCAGTCGTCTTCTGCAGGCCAGCAGAGCAGATCTGTGGCATCAGAGAGTCAGAACCTCAGTGCTGTGACAGAAGGCAGAAATTCAGCCAGTCTGGGTACTAACACATGTTTGCTTTTCTGTCAAGATGGGGCCTTTCCATTAACTTCTACTAATTTAGTATGTTTAAATAATTGTGAATTTTTTTTTTTTTAAATATGAAACATTTTAAATAATAATTAGTTTATTATTAATCATTTAATTAAATAATTTACAATAGTAATAAAATATTAAGCATCAAAGTATTTATTATTAATAATATTATCATTCATTTATTTCTCTTACTACTGTAATTGATACATTTATGATTTATTTATTAACAGTAAATGATCAAAGTGATGTTTATGACTATTTTCCTGTGTCATATGTTGTTTGTACAGACAGTAACATTAATACAGAAGTATCGTCAGTGAACAGAAAGAAGCAGAAAAAGATCTGGAGCTCAGACACGACAGAAAAGCAGCCGGTCAGTATCACACACACACACACACACACACACACATACACTGACATAATAACTGTTTCTATTTGTAAGACAAAGAAACATTTCAAAAGGATGGTTAATGTCTTTCTCAGGAGTCCAAAGACAGCCTGCTCCTTAAGGAGGTGGGGCCTGAGGGGCGGGGCCAGATCTCAGCTGTGCAGCAGCTATTGGATGAGGTGAGGCTAAAGAACCAATCACAGCGCCAAAAACTCCACAGCATCTTAAAGAGGACCTTCTCTTTTTTTAGTGTGTAATATAGGTATTTTTCCAAAATTTTTAAGGTGCGTTTTTGTACCCCTTTAAGGTCCTTTTTTTTTAGTGTTCTTTGGCAAATTTTCGTCATTGAAATATAGTAATTTCAGTAGGAATCCATGTGATTTTGCACAAGATTTCACAACAAATTCAAGTTGGTCACGTAGGTCTTCGCCATGTTGAAACAGACTGCTTCGTACAATGCTAGACCTTTTTTAACTGAAATTTTGCCAAAATTTCGCTAATGCGACAGCACCTTTAGATTTACTTGGGATCTTTTGTGTAGCTGTATATATTTCTAGAGGGTGTGTTTCAAATGTTGGCGCATCTCTGCAGGGTGCTGACCCAGCATGTTTGGGAAGTGATGGGCGTCCCGCTCTGGTCGCTGCCGCGCTAAACGGGCATCATGATGTCATTCCTGTGCTGGTGCAGAGAGAAGCTGATGTTAACCAGGCTTCTGGACCGTGAGTTTGAAACAAGTTCCTTTTGATATGTCTAGTAATAATCTGAGCCAAATGAATACTTTTGATCATCTGCGGTGGCCACAGGTTGAATAACACGGCGCTGCATGAGGCAGCAGCTCTGGGAAACCAAGGTCTGAGGAGCGTTGAGATACTCCTGGGGTGAGTTTCACAAACATTAATGATGATAAAATGACAAAGGTGTGTATTAAAAAAAAAATCTCGTTCTTGTGCAGGTGTAATGCAAGTATCAGAAAGCAGAACAATCGGGGCCAGACGGCGTATGATATTGCCGTGGCCGCCGGGAGCAGTTCTGCGGTCTCTCTGATGGCAGCTCACATGGGACAGGAACTGCTACAGCGCCACACCAAGGCCAGGAGCCCATCTGGACTGGATACGTTCTCTTGAGACAATCCACTTCTCAACCAAACCAAATCTCATCAGTGTCACTACATACAATACTTGAAGGTTTGTTTAGGCCCTCCATCTCACCAGCAAAGCTGACATATTAAATTGAAATTATTGCTTATTAAAGTGAGTTAAATGAGTAAAAGTGTGATTTCCTGGTTGTCACAGTGTATAAGAAATTATATATGTGGTGTGGACTCTGCTATTCTTTTAAATTTAGAACTATTTTTAAAAATCTTTATTCATATTGCTATAGTTATGAACATGTGTCTTTAATGTGTACTAACTTTTTAAATTAGTACCAAACTTCTGAAAGCACTTTTGACAGAGAAAAATAAATTAAAATGAGCCAACACAATATTAAACATTTTAATATTTAATTAACAGGTGGCAACATTTTTATCTGTGCAATTGTGTGAATACAAAACAAAACACACGTGGCAAAAATAAACACTTTTTTTTTTTTTTTTTTACTAAGGAAAACTAATTTAGCTGTGTTTATGATGCAGAAGGAGTTATGCTGGTGTATGTATACAGAAAAACAAATCCTTCGCTTTGGTTTAAACATTGAACCAAATATATAATAAGTCATACAAAGCCTTAAACAGGAAATAACACAACAAATATGACTGTGATAACACTCCCTGACTGGCATATCATGCGACGTCCGAGTCACATGACAACAAAGTTACACAATGTACAAAACCCAAAGCGTAGGCTCCTCAGCGGCGCAAGCGCAGGAAGAATGCATGCCTGCACTCTTTGCTGTCCACCGGGTAGTATTTATCATAAAAGTCCAGGATGTACTCCTCTGTTTTGAAGCCGAACTTCTGGTAGAGCAGCATGGCAGGGTTGCTCGCCGATACGTGTAGGGTCACATCCTTTCCCATGCAGGTCTACAGAGAGGAGAAAGGAAGGTTCCTGCATCAACTGAAGCTTGTAAACTCAACGTGGTTGATTTATTTTTGAATCACCTGAATGAGATGGTAGATCATGAATGTGGCGATACCAGCTCGCCTCCATTCAGGATGCACCAGCAGGAAGGAGATGTAGGCCTCGTTGTATTTCACATCCGGCACCATGAAGCCAAAACCGATCACAACTTTCTTGTAAAGCACCACCACGCTGAAATCGGGGTACTGGAGGCACTCTGATAGGTCGATACCTGATAAACAGAAGAACGTATTACGCCTACAGGACATAGTTTCACCCAAAATCTGTGTTTGACAGGATGAAACGATGATTACCAGGCCAGAAGATGTCTTGGCACATGGAGTTGACAGAGGGGATGTGATTGGGCCGCACATAACAGTAGTCTATAGGTGCATCAGGTTCAGCTACCCAAGACGGCTCCTTCTTGTGAGGATACGCACGGATCTCTGAGAGCAAACGCAGCTTCAGCGGCCGACTCTCATAGTCTCTCCTACACACAGTAATACACATTATCAGAAAAATATATATGGTTACAATGGGCGCAACTTAGTTTTTTTTTTTAGTATCTGTAAAAACCTTGGTCATTAAGGATGCACAAATTTTTAAGGAAAAGTTATTTCAAAAATACAATACCGCTCCGGTCCGAAAATGTTATATTTTTGAAAGAAATTAATACTTTTATTCAGCAAGTATGCATTTCAAATAAATGCATCCTTTTGAACTTTTGAAATGTTTCCTGAACAGCAAATCAGCATATTAGAATGATTTCTGAAGGATCATGTGACACTGTAATGATGCTGAAAATTCAGCTTTGCATCACAGGAATAAACTACATTTTATAATATATGAAAATAGAAAACTGGTATTTCAATTTTAATAATATTTCAAAATATTAAGTGTTTCTACTGTATTTGTGATCAAATAAATGCAGACTTTGTGAGCATAAGAGACTTTCAAAAAAACATTTAACAAATTTGTGTATACTTATATCTTTTAAAAATGTATTTTAATAATCTTAACTCATTTGGAATGTTTTGCACCTAAAAACCATGTATTTTTAAAGATGTTTTTATGTACCTCTTCCTGGTCTAAACTGACCCGAATGCATAGGTTTAAGAAAAAAAGAACAAGGTAATAGTAAGATTATTAATGTGATATATTCAGATTTTTAACATACATGACCACTGCAATGAAACCACTTCATTAAAAAGATAGAATAATATTTTATCTATTTATTTGTAGTATTTTATCTATGCAATGATTAATTACTCTCTACAATCTAATTGCTCATCAATTCATGTTAATTAATTCCTAAAGTAACTAACATTTTCAGTATATAAAGAAATCCATTTCACGAACCTGAAATATACAAAATTTGCTTCATTTCGAGACAGACTTGCTACTATTTGCCATCAAACTCTTATTTCAAAAGAGCAAGAAAATCTGGTTTTCCATGATTCATCAAATCCCAATGTAAGATTGAGTAAATGTTCAGACGTTCATGTACCTGATGTACGGCTTGAGCACTCTGGATGTGTAGGGACTCTTGATGGTCTGATCCATGCAGGCATCAGTACCCATCAGCCTGTGCCAGAATGACACTGTGGGCTGATAGAACCCTTTCCTTATGGTCACTGTTGACTGGGGAGCAAAACAAGACTTTTAATGAGTTTCTCAGTAGGAGTTATAATACATAGTACTGTACATATTTTCTTCTGGTTCACCTGAAAGCGATCAAGTATACGAAGGTCCTGGCTGGTGGTTCTGTATTTCCCTTCTCCGCTCGTCCTGTGGCTGGCCAAACCCCCTTGTGCCCCATACACACCTCCCACCAGGCTGAGTGTAGCGCTCACGGCCTGATCCACGTCCAGCAGGGGGAGCCCTCGCTCTCTTTTGGCCTGCCGCACGAATAGCTTGCGATGCAGTCTTTTGGCCTGTGGCGTGACGGCCAGCGCTTGCGGACATGCCTCCAGCCTGTGGAGCAGCATACGCTCCTCGTAAAGGCTGATGAACGTGTAGCGCGGGGTGGGCAAAGACACGCAGCCCCCGCCCTTATCCTGGAGAACCTTCCTCCGCTCAATGCCACGCCCCTGTCCCGCTGACAACAAGCCTTCATCCCGGCCCTCGTCTTCCTCACCATCTCTACCCCGCTCTTCATCTTCACTCTCCAGTTCTTGTTTGATCAGCTCTGCTGGACGTATCTTTTTCCTGACCATAATGGTGCCGGTGGCCAAAGGCATGCTGGGAGGGGGAATATACTCCATCCCGGGGTCAATTACGCCCTCGGGGTCCAATTCTTCATCGTCTGGTCGAAAGTAATACAATGAACACAGTCAACAAACAAGATGCTGTGACAAATCCTAACACTTTTTTTCTGTTTATTACCAAATAATAAATTATAAATATATAATAGGAGTGGTTGTAGTGGTTACTAGGTGTCTCAAAGGTGTTCTGGTTGGGCACTAGGACGATACTAGGGAACTATGGGTGGTTAGTTCCCTAGTAACAGGTGCTCTGGGTGGTTGTTAGGGTGTTGCTATGTGGTTTTTAGGCTGTTCTGAGTGGTCATCTCATCAATAAGATGTTGCTATGTGTCTGCCAGGGTGTTTTGCATGGTTGTTAGGATGTTGCTAGAGAACTATGGGTTGTTACAAGGGTGTTTCCAGAGTGTTCTTGGTGGTAGTTAGGAGGTTGCTATGTGTTTTCTAGGGTGTTCTGGGTGGTCATCAGTAGGATGTTGCTATGTGGTTGTTAGGGTGTACTGGATGGTCGTTTAAAGGAACACTCCACTATTTTTGAAAACAGGCTCATTTTCCAACTCCCTTAGAGTTAAACAGTTGAGTTTTACCGTTTTCGAATCCATTCAGCCTATATCCGGGTCTGGCGGTAGCACTTTTAGCTGTAGCTTAGCATAGATCATTGAATCTGATTAGACCATTAGCATCTCGCTCAAAAATGACCAAAGAGTTTCGCATTCCGGCGTAATAATCAAGGAACTTTGCTGTCGTACCATTGGTGCAGCAGGAACAAAGATATTACGCAGCGCCTGAAAATAGTCCCCAGCTAGGTAACTTCCAATGTGACCGGCACTAAGTTTGTGTAGTTGGTTATGTTGACGGAAGTTAGCCTATTTTCAGGTGCTGCGTAATGATGTAACTTTGTGGTTGCCCGAATGTTCCGCATGGTTGTTAGAATGTTGCCAGGGTGATCTGGGTAGTTGTAAGGATGTTCCTTTTTGGTTGCTTGGGTAGCTAGGGTGTTCTGGGTGGTCATCAATAGGATGTTGCTATGTGGTTGCCAGGGTATTTTGCATGGTTGTTAGGATGTTGCTTGAAAACTGGGTGGTTACAAGGGCATTTCTAGAGCATTCTGGGTGTTTGTTAGGATATTGCTATGTGGTTGTCAGGGTGTTTTGTGTATTTGCTAGGGTGTACTGAATGGTCATGTACTGAATGTTCCTATGTGGTTGCTCAGGTGTTTTGTATGGTTGTTACAATGTTGCCAGGGTGCTTTGCATGGTTGTTAAGATGTGGTTGTACAGTGTTCTGGGTGGTCATCAATAACATGTTGCTATGTGGTTGTCAGAATGTTTCATGGTTGTTAGGATGTTGCTTGGGAAGTATGGGTGGTTACAAGGGTGTTTCTAGAGCGTTCTGGGTGGTTGTTAGGATGTTGTTATGTGGTTGACCGAGTGTTCCGCATGGTTGTTAGAATGTTGCCAGGGTCAATAGGATGTTGCTATGTGGCTTCCAAGTTGCTTTGTGAGGTCGCTAGGGTGTTCTGGATGGTCATGTACTGAATGTTCTTATGTGGTTGCTCAGGTGTTTTGCATGGTTGTTAGAATGTTGCCAGGGTGCTTGGGTTGTTGACTGCCAAGTGCCAAATGCATAAACATTCATGTTTATCATTTGGCAGTCGCTTTTTTAGAGCAACTTTGAATTCACGGTACACATTTTGTCAGTCTTTGTATGCTAGAATGTTGCCAGGTTGTTCTAGGTATTTTGTACAGATGTAGCTATTTGGTTGCTAGGGTGTTCTGGGTGGTCGCTAAGGTATTCTTGGCAGTTCTTAGAATGTGATTGCCATCTGTGGCTGGTTGCATAAACTTCTTATTATGTAACTGGCCCTTTCTCCCTCAAGGTAAGTCTATGGCATCTTTTTGCCCATTTTAGCGTCTTATCAGGCGTCTACC